AGCCTTCCTAGAATAAAACTGAAAAAAATAAACCAGAGAGACTGACTTAAGAAGGACAGTATGGTTAAGCAAATTCCGGGGGGAACAACAAAAAAATATTTAATTTACCATATCTCAAAAAAATAATCATCATAGCAAAAAACTGTTTCCGGCATTTTACTCCTCAAGTCAAGGCCTTTTCAATGACATAATCTTTGCATCAGATTTTACAAAAAATTATAGCACGTTTTGGTGACGTCATCAATTATGACGTCATAATCTGACATTTTGTCACAACTTTCAAATTAAAATAAACTGGAGAACAAAGAAAGCTCATCTGCCAAACTTGGTTCAGAAATATATAAACCAAAGTAATATAGCCTTCATGAAACATTAGGAGGGTGGTTTGGCCCCTACGTGCTAGTTTTTCAGCTGGAATCCGTTAACAGTTAGTGGTTAGTGATATGCTGCTATTCTGGTGTTCCTGGTTTAATTACAGGTTCATTAAACTTGATTTGGTCACAGTAGGAAAATTTTGCTTTCATTTTAGTCGTGTATTTGTATACTTAGCGTAGCTGTTTGCGTCAATGTCAACCCCAGCGCGCGCGTGGCACTTAACCATCCCTTGCGTGATGCGCAGAACGTGTGCGCACTGACAAAAGTAGGCACCGTCCTTAAGTTATTTTTAGATGTGGTATCCAGTTCTCCTGTAGATTATTTTATCGCGCGCGTTGCCTAGCTAGATCCTTCCGTGAAGGAGGAAAATGCACGTAAACCGTTGGGTTGCCATGTTATTGAAATTGGCATCACAGGATTAACTATAATTGGGATTTCCGAAACTGGCAGTGATCTAAAAATAACTTTGGAGCGATTACCTTATGGGGGATTAACTCTGCTTACCCCTCATCCTCTCCTACTCAGGCTAATGCCGTGTTTAGACTTACACGGCTTACCGAGGTACCAAACTTTACTCACTTAGGTAAACATTTTCCGTGTGTAAACGCCAATTGATACTTTGGTAAACGCCGCAAAACACAAAAGAAATTTGACCAAGGTAAAAGTTGTAATTACCCTGTGATCAGGCATGGTTACAGCTGGTAACCAAAGTCAAGATAACAGATATATCCGCTTGTGGTGGCGTAATATTTCACTTTCCGTGGTGAGCAGATCATGCGATTGGCATGTTTTCTTTCCAGTTTTGACAACGGCATGGCAGATAACAGGGAACAATTGGATTGATGTTCTTATGGGGAACAATCCGTCAGGCATAAGAAGGCATTGTATTTTTCATTCTCAGTTTTATTTAATACAACTTTCCCGACACAAAATTTGATCCTTCGTTGTGTAATTATTGTCGATGTATTTTCTCACTCAGGGAGGATGCTGCATATTCAATGTATCCACGTTTCTCCGCATACAACCATGCAATCTCTGTGTATGATCACCCAACTGAATTTTCGCCGCAATATAATGGAATGAGGTCCTCATCTATGCAAATGATGGCACCTCAGTTTGCTCCTGCAAGTTCGATTTCATGACGTTGATAATGCAGCGGGCGCGAATGTTGACAGATCAACTTGAGTTATTTGAGCCAGTTGTAAACACTGGACGAATGTACCGAGGTTAAGTAACTTGACCTTAGTAACTGTTTACCTTGGTAAAAGCTCAAATGTAAATATAACATTAGATACGGATTGTTCCAGTCAAGAAGAACGAACGAAGCCAATTCTAGACCATGTTGAACCAAGTAGGGATTATTTACACCATAAGTATTCTGCGTAAGTCTTACCTGAAGTTGCCTTACTAGGAGATGTGGCTTCGGAAGTTGGCATTGTCGGTTCTATAAACAGAAAAAAAATGAATTATCAAATTATCAAATGACATTTGCGCTAGCATTTCCTCCAGCAGGGAGTACAGTAGTGGCATGTTAAGCCACCTAGGCTAGATGACAGACTTGAACTATTCCTCATGAAGATATCCAAAAACTCACCAGGTATGACAGTGAAGTTCTTTTTTTTACTGTTTTTGCTCTGTCCTTGGTCGTTCTCTGCCACCACAGTAAATTCGTAGGTCTTGGCCCACTTCAGGGTTAAAGTACAAAGGTTCGTAGACACATTTTTCTGTTTCTTTTCTTTTACGTGAACTTCTCGATAAAATACCAAGTATCGTAGAATGGGTCTTCCGTTGTCGGCAGGCTTTTTCCAGCGAAGGGTGAAAGAACGATTGGTGAGGTGCTTCTCTTCGTTTAATATGACTGGTGCTGCTGGAGGAAATGCTGGGAAAGAAAGAGAGAAATCAACACAAATGTTAATTTTACAAGGCGGGCAAAAGGTGTTATGAAATAAAACGGCAAGAGACAACAAAAGATGAATAGTCTGCTTCCAATTACACCTTATATATTCTCCCTTTCTAACCATTCCCATCAAGCATCGCTGGATGACACATTGGAGACCATTAAGTGTAAGGGGGCCAAACTCGCTAGGCGAAGGTGACAATATGCACAATGGCCGCTTTTCCTTGTTTTTTCTTCTCGAAGAAATCATGAAACAAATAGCAATTTATAAACGCGTCTTATTTTGTCTCCCGGAAAATTCTCTTAAAGACGACCAAAGAAGATCCCAGTATAGCAGGACAGACGGCGAAAAGTTCTATATTCTTTTGTAGGCCCTGTTAGTAACGTAACATGCTTGTTTTCTTTACTACTCTTGAAAAGCAATGAAAATAAATATAACTATAGACATTTTTTTCGTGTCTTGCGATGTCTCCACCCTCATGTTAATATAATCAGCCAATTCGAAGAGAAGGCCTTGATAGAGAAAGGGCAGCCCCTTAACTAAAAGCCACAATGCTACATGCACTATTTAATTCAATTCCAGGTGAAGTGTTTTTCTGACCTGTTCTCACTACCTTCACGTGAAATGCATCTGTTCCAAGAGCATTACTTGCCGTGCAAGTGTAGTTACCAAAATCCTTGTCATCACGAGGAATAATAAAAATGCTGGCAGACCTACTCCCATTTAGCAGTACGTTTCTGTCTTTTGACCAAGTGATCTTTGGTCTCGGATTTCCAACTGCTTGGCAGGTCAATGACGAATTGTGATGAAGCCATGAGCCGATTGCCGCTGCACGACCAGTTCTATTTAGCCTAGGTTTATCTTGACAGAAAAAAAAAGTAAAAAACCTTTAGATCATTTTCGAAATTTCACCTCGGGACAACTGGTCACAGAATTTTCTTGCTTACTTGCAGCTGAACTCGGCAAGAATGAGTTCTGATCTATGTTGAGGTGTATTACAAGATTAGACCTTGGTCCATTATAAGCCGTTACTGAAATAAAGCTCTAAAATCGATACGAGTCGTACGGTAATATCCAAAGGTAAACCTCATATAGGGCCGATTATGTTTGATTTCTTTAGGCTGGCAGTATCGATGTCAGTCTTCTTAAGTACAAACTGCCATCAAAAGCAAATGACGGTAATGCCAAACTTTTATGATGATTGCTGCACTAAAAGCACGATGGTTAAATGTCAAGTCTGTTTTGCGACCAAAAGGAGATACCATAGAAAGCCATCTTAAGCAAAAAAAAAAAAAAAAAAAAAAAAAAAAAAAAAAAAAAAAAAAAAAAAAAAAAAAAAAAAAAAAAAANCCGTTTGGAAGGCTCCACAGTATGCTAGGTGAAGGATTGCCAGTAGCAATACAAAACAGGTTTGTTTCAAAAGATTCGTTAACTGTAAGATTTCCGCTTGAAGAGACTATCTCAGGTGGATCTGTAAAAGGCAATAAAAAGGTCGTTATTAATGATTGTTGTTGCGCAGTTGTATTCTCCTTCATAAGTCCTTCTAACGTCTACAATAGTCAACTGACTTGACCTCCCCAAAACACTTCCTTCGCCAACTTTGCTCAGCGTGCAGTTGAGACCGGCCACGTTCGTCGTATTTACTGTAGTGCAATTGATGGAAAGCGTTTCTCCCTCTGTGATTGTGGAGTTTTCTGGCCGAACAATGATTATGCCTGCTGTTTGAAATAAAGCGTGGCAATACTTAAGTAAATTGGAAAAAGCAAATAAAAACTAAAGTGTTTCGTAGTTTGTAGTTCACTGCGCCTTTAAGTAACACGCAAAGTCCGAACTTCAAAACTATTTTTGGCTGCCGTCAATAATAATTACGACGACAACCAACAGGCGTTACAATCAAAAAAGACGATAACGAGCAGATTTCAATGACATTGAAAGACGCAGTATCTACAGTTGAATCAATCGGATTATGTGTACTAAAGCCATCCGATTGATCCTCGATCGACCCGACCGCGGATGCTTTCAGTACACATGACCCGTTGAATCTTCACTCTCAGGCAGTTTTTCAACGGTGAGGATATTTCGTCCCGACCGTGCGCCGATCTATGCGGCTGCGTTGGTCTACAGTAACTCTTTCAAAATACTCACTGGGACGGACATTAGTGTACGAAAGCCGGTTAATATTCCACCCCTCCTGCATAGTATTTGACTGATCTATCATTTGAGGTGTATTACAAAATTAGATTTTGGTCAATGGTAAGCCGTTACATGTACCGAAAGAAAGCTCTAATACAGGGTCGATTATGTTTGATTTCTTTAAGCTAGCAGTATCAATGTCAGTCTTCTTAAGTACAAACTGCCATCAAAAGCAAATGACGGTAATGCCAAACTTTTTACGATGATTGCTGCACTAAAAATAGGATGGTTAATTGTCAAGTCTGTTTTACGTCCAAAAGGAGATACCATAGAAAGCCATCTTAAAAAAAAAAAAGAAAAAAAAAAGGAAATTAAAGAAATTTAAATATACGATCAAACCATAAAGCTATGTCAAGCAAGCATGCCATAAATGGACCATGAAAATAATAGAAACAGCTACTAAACTCGAGAAGGCGTATACATGAGCCAATAGCTACGGTCGAGTGGTTCCACGGAGTCTTTTAAGTTTGTTGGTTGCTGATAACAAAACACGCAAGATGTTTAACACTTACACTGCACGTTCAAAAACATCACAGTCGTAGAACTGTTGCCAAGAAGATTGGTTGCCTTGCAAGAGTATCTACCATGCTGACTTTTTGACGTATTCTTGAACGTAAGGAATTGGCCGTTATTGGACCCGTTTGGAAGGCTCCACAGTATGCTAGGTGAAGGATTGCCAGTAGCAATACAAAACAGGTTTGTTTCAAAAGATTCGTTAACTGTAAGATTTCCGCTTGAAGAGACTATCTCAGGTGGATCTGTAAAAGGCAATAAAAAGGTCGTTATTAATGATTGTTGTTGCGCAGTTGTATTCTCCTTCATAAGTCCTTCTAACGTCTACAATAGTCAACTGACTTGACCTCCCCAAAACACTTCCTTCGCCAACTTTGCTCAGCGTGCAGTTGAGACCGGCCACGTTCGTCGTATTTACTGTAGTGCAATTGATGGAAAGCGTTTCTCCCTCTGTGATTGTGGAGTTTTCTGGCCGAACAATGATTATGCCTGCTGTTTGAAATAAAGCGTGGCAATACTTAAGTAAATTGGAAAAAGCAAATAAAAACTAAAGTGTTTCGTAGTTTGTAGTTCACTGCGCCTTTAAGTAACACGCAAAGTCCGAACTTCAAAACTATTTTTGGCTGCCGTCAATAATAATTACGACGACAACCAACAGGCGTTACAATCAAAAAAGACGATAACGAGCAGATTTCAATGACATTGAAAGACGCAGTATCTACAGTTGAATCAATCGGATTATGTGTACTAAAGCCATCCGATTGATCCTCGATCGACCCGACCGCGGATGCTTTCAGTACACATGACCCGTTGAATCTTCACTCTCAGGCAGTTTTTCAACGGTGAGGATATTTCGTCCCGACCGTGCGCCGATCTATGCGGCTGCGTTGGTCTACAGTAACTCTTTCAAAATACTCACTGGGACGGACATTAGTGTACGAAAGCCGGTTAATATTCCACCCCTCCTGCATAGTATTTGACTGATCTATCATTTGAGGTGTATTACAAAATTAGATTTTGGTCAATGGTAAGCCGTTACATGTACCGAAAGAAAGCTCTAATACAGGGTCGATTATGTTTGATTTCTTTAAGCTAGCAGTATCAATGTCAGTCTTCTTAAGTACAAACTGCCATCAAAAGCAAATGACGGTAATGCCAAACTTTTTACGATGATTGCTGCACTAAAAATAGGATGGTTAATTGTCAAGTCTGTTTTACGTCCAAAAGGAGATACCATAGAAAGCCATCTTAAAAAAAAAAAAGAAAAAAAAAAGGAAATTAAAGAAATTTAAATATACGATCAAACCATAAAGCTATGTCAAGCAAGCATGCCATAAATGGACCATGAAAATAATAGAAACAGCTACTAAACTCGAGAAGGCGTATACATGAGCCAATAGCTACGGTCGAGTGGTTCCACGGAGTCTTTTAAGTTTGTTGGTTGCTGATAACAAAACACGCAAGATGTTTAACACTTACACTGCACGTTCAAAAACATCACAGTCGTAGAACTGTTGCCAAGAAGATTGGTTGCCTTGCAAGAGTATCTACCATGCTGACTTTTTGACGTATTCTTGAACGTAAGGAATTGGCCGTTATTGGACCCGTTTGGAAGGCTCCACAGTATGCTAGGTGAAGGATTGCCAGTAGCAATACAAAACAGGTTTGTTTCAAAAGATTCGTTAACTGTAAGATTTCCGCTTGAAGAGACTATCTCAGGTGGATCTGTAAAAGGCAATAAAAAGGTCGTTATTAATGATTGTTGTTGCGCAGTTGTATTCTCCTTCATAAGTCCTTCTAACGTCTACAATAGTCAACTGACTTGACCTCCCCAAAACACTTCCTTCGCCAACTTTGCTCAGCGTGCAGTTGAGACCGGCCACGTTCGTCGTATTTACTGTAGTGCAATTGATGGAAAGCGTTTCTCCCTCTGTGATTGTGGAGTTTTCTGGCCGAACAATGATTATGCCTGCTGTTTGAAATAAAGCGTGGCAATACTTAAGTAAATTGGAAAAAGCAAATAAAAACTAAAGTGTTTCGTAGTTTGTAGTTCACTGCGCCTTTAAGTAACACGCAAAGTCCGAACTTCAAAACTATTTTTGGCTGCCGTCAATAATAATTACGACGACAACCAACAGGCGTTACAATCAAAAAAGACGATAACGAGCAGATTTCAATGACATTGAAAGACGCAGTATCTACAGTTGAATCAATCGGATTATGTGTACTAAAGCCATCCGATTGATCCTCGATCGACCCGACCGCGGATGCTTTCAGTACACATGACCCGTTGAATCTTCACTCTCAGGCAGTTTTTCAACGGTGAGGATATTTCGTCCCGACCGTGCGCCGATCTATGCGGCTGCGTTGGTCTACAGTAACTCTTTCAAAATACTCACTGGGACGGACATTAGTGTACGAAAGCCGGTTAATATTCCACCCCTCCTGCATAGTATTTGACTGATCTATCATTTGAGGTGTATTACAAAATTAGATTTTGGTCAATGGTAAGCCGTTACATGTACCGAAAGAAAGCTCTAATACAGGGTCGATTATGTTTGATTTCTTTAAGCTAGCAGTATCAATGTCAGTCTTCTTAAGTACAAACTGCCATCAAAAGCAAATGACGGTAATGCCAAACTTTTTACGATGATTGCTGCACTAAAAATAGGATGGTTAATTGTCAAGTCTGTTTTACGTCCAAAAGGAGATACCATAGAAAGCCATCTTAAAAAAAAAAAAGAAAAAAAAAAGGAAATTAAAGAAATTTAAATATACGATCAAACCATAAAGCTATGTCAAGCAAGCATGCCATAAATGGACCATGAAAATAATAGAAACAGCTACTAAACTCGAGAAGGCGTATACATGAGCCAATAGCTACGGTCGAGTGGTTCCACGGAGTCTTTTAAGTTTGTTGGTTGCTGATAACAAAACACGCAAGATGTTTAACACTTACACTGCACGTTCAAAAACATCACAGTCGTAGAACTGTTGCCAAGAAGATTGGTTGCCTTGCAAGAGTATCTACCATGCTGACTTTTTGACGTATTCTTGAACGTAAGGAATTGGCCGTTATTGGACCCGTTTGGAAGGCTCCACAGTATGCTAGGTGAAGGATTGCCAGTAGCAATACAAAACAGGTTTGTTTCAAAAGATTCGTTAACTGTAAGATTTCCGCTTGAAGAGACTATCTCAGGTGGATCTGTAAAAGGCAATAAAAAGGTCGTTATTAATGATTGTTGTTGCGCAGTTGTATTCTCCTTCATAAGTCCTTCTAACGTCTACAATAGTCAACTGACTTGACCTCCCCAAAACACTTCCTTCGCCAACTTTGCTCAGCGTGCAGTTGAGACCGGCCACGTTCGTCGTATTTACTGTAGTGCAATTGATGGAAAGCGTTTCTCCCTCTGTGATTGTGGAGTTTTCTGGCCGAACAATGATTATGCCTGCTGTTTGAAATAAAGCGTGGCAATACTTAAGTAAATTGGAAAAAGCAAATAAAAACTAAAGTGTTTCGTAGTTTGTAGTTCACTGCGCCTTTAAGTAACACGCAAAGTCCGAACTTCAAAACTATTTTTGGCTGCCGTCAATAATAATTACGACGACAACCAACAGGCGTTACAATCAAAAAAGACGATAACGAGCAGATTTCAATGACATTGAAAGACGCAGTATCTACAGTTGAATCAATCGGATTATGTGTACTAAAGCCATCCGATTGATCCTCGATCGACCCGACCGCGGATGCTTTCAGTACACATGACCCGTTGAATCTTCACTCTCAGGCAGTTTTTCAACGGTGAGGATATTTCGTCCCGACCGTGCGCCGATCTATGCGGCTGCGTTGGTCTACAGTAACTCTTTCAAAATACTCACTGGGACGGACATTAGTGTACGAAAGCCGGTTAATATTCCACCCCTCCTGCATAGTATTTGACTGATCTATCATTTGAGGTGTATTACAAAATTAGATTTTGGTCAATGGTAAGCCGTTACATGTACCGAAAGAAAGCTCTAATACAGGGTCGATTATGTTTGATTTCTTTAAGCTAGCAGTATCAATGTCAGTCTTCTTAAGTACAAACTGCCATCAAAAGCAAATGACGGTAATGCCAAACTTTTTACGATGATTGCTGCACTAAAAATAGGATGGTTAATTGTCAAGTCTGTTTTACGTCCAAAAGGAGATACCATAGAAAGCCATCTTAAAAAAAAAAAAGAAAAAAAAAAGGAAATTAAAGAAATTTAAATATACGATCAAACCATAAAGCTATGTCAAGCAAGCATGCCATAAATGGACCATGAAAATAATAGAAACAGCTACTAAACTCGAGAAGGCGTATACATGAGCCAATAGCTACGGTCGAGTGGTTCCACGGAGTCTTTTAAGTTTGTTGGTTGCTGATAACAAAACACGCAAGATGTTTAACACTTACACTGCACGTTCAAAAACATCACAGTCGTAGAACTGTTGCCAAGAAGATTGGTTGCCTTGCAAGAGTATCTACCATGCTGACTTTTTGACGTATTCTTGAACGTAAGGAATTGGCCGTTATTGGACCCGTTTGGAAGGCTCCACAGTATGCTAGGTGAAGGATTGCCAGTAGCAATACAAAACAGGTTTGTTTCAAAAGATTCGTTAACTGTAAGATTTCCGCTTGAAGAGACTATCTCAGGTGGATCTGTAAAAGGCAATAAAAAGGTCGTTATTAATGATTGTTGTTGCGCAGTTGTATTCTCCTTCATAAGTCCTTCTAACGTCTACAATAGTCAACTGACTTGACCTCCCCAAAACACTTCCTTCGCCAACTTTGCTCAGCGTGCAGTTGAGACCGGCCACGTTCGTCGTATTTACTGTAGTGCAATTGATGGAAAGCGTTTCTCCCTCTGTGATTGTGGAGTTTTCTGGCCGAACAATGATTATGCCTGCTGTTTGAAATAAAGCGTGGCAATACTTAAGTAAATTGGAAAAAGCAAATAAAAACTAAAGTGTTTCGTAGTTTGTAGTTCACTGCGCCTTTAAGTAACACGCGAAGTCCGAACTTCAAAACTATTTTTGGCTGCCGTCAATAATAATTACGACGACAACCAACAGGCGTTACAATCAAAAAAGACGATAACGAGCAGATTTCAATGACATTGAAAGACGCAGTATCTACAGTTGAATCAATCGGATTATGTGTACTAAAGCCATCCGATTGATCCTCGATCGACCCGACCGCGGATGCTTTCAGTACACATGACCCGTTGAATCTTCACTCTCAGGCAGTTTTTCAACGGTGAGGATATTTCGTCCCGACCGTGCGCCGATCTATGCGGCTGCGTTGGTCTACAGTAACTCTTTCAAAATACTCACTGGGACGGACATTAGTGTACGAAAGCCGGTTAATATTCCACCCCTCCTGCATAGTATTTGACTGATCTATCATTTGAGGTGTATTACAAAATTAGATTTTGGTCAATGGTAAGCCGTTACATGTACCGAAAGAAAGCTCTAATACAGGGTCGATTATGTTTGATTTCTTTAAGCTAGCAGTATCAATGTCAGTCTTCTTAAGTACAAACTGCCATCAAAAGCAAATGACGGTAATGCCAAACTTTTTACGATGATTGCTGCACTAAAAATAGGATGGTTAATTGTCAAGTCTGTTTTACGTCCAAAAGGAGATACCATAGAAAGCCATCTTAAAAAAAAAACAAAGAAAAAAAAAAGGAAATTAAAGAAATTTAAATATACGATCAAACCATAAAGCTATGTCAAGCAAGCATGCCATAAATGGACCATGAAAATAATAGAAACAGCTACTAAACTCGAGAAGGCGTATACATGAGCCAATAGCTACGGTCGAGTGGTTCCACGGAGTCTTTTAAGTTTGTTGGTTGCTGATAACAAAACACGCAAGATGTTTAACACTTACACTGCACGTTCAAAAACATCACAGTCGTAGAACTGTTGCCAAGAAGATTGGTTGCCTTGCAAGAGTATCTACCATGCTGACTTTTTGACGTATTCTTGAACGTAAGGAATTGGCCGTTATTGGACCCGTTTGGAAGGCTCCACAGTATGCTAGGTGAAGGATTGCCAGTAGCAATACAAAACAGGTTTGTTTCAAAAGATTCGTTAACTGTAAGATTTCCGCTTGAAGAGACTATGTGAGGTGGATCTGTAAAAGACAATAAAAGGTCATTATTTATGATTCAACACTTGTTTACAGAGTCTCCAAAATGACTTGAAATATTTACTATTTGAAAGCAAAAGGTCAAACTGCGTTTTAATGATTGATTGGAGTATACTCACAGAATACGGTCACTGTGGCTACCGCAGTCCAATTTACTGTTCCATTTGTTGCTGCGCAGTTGTATTCTCCTTCATCAGTCCTGTTAACGTCTAAAATAGTCAACTGACTTGACCTCCCCAAAACACTTCCTTCACCAACTTTGCTCCACGTGAAGTTGAGACCGGACACGTTCGTCGTATTTGTTGTGGTGCAATTGATGGAGAGCGTTTCTCCCTCTGTGATTGTGGTGTTTACTGGTTGAACAATGATTATGCCTGCTGTTTGAAAATAAAGCATGGCAATACTTAGGTAAATTGAAAAAACAAAATAAAAACTAAAATGTTTCGTACTTTGTAGTTTACTGCGCCTTTCAGTCACACGCGAAATCTAAAGTTCAAAATTTATAACAAACGAATGCGTTTTTGACTGCTGTCAATGATAATTACGACAACAACCAACAGGCATTACAATAAAGAAAGACGATAATGAGCAGATTTAAATTACATTGAAAGACGCAGTATCTACAGTTGAATCGTATCAATCGGATAATGTGTAATAAAGCCATTCGCGGTCGATAGTCGGTCGATACCCTCGATTTATCCTTGATCGACCCCACCGCGGACGCTTCTAAAGTGTAGGTTTTTCTTATAAAATTCGTCTCCAAAGAAGCCCAAAATTCGACATCGTTGCCGCCATTTTGAACAGCACACAGCAGCCAGCCGCGTTTTCGTGACGTCATTCCATCCAAGAGTTTTTGTCCAAATGGCTTCCGAGAAGCCCTTTAACTGCCACTCTGGGTTATGGCTACTCTTGAGCTGTATTATTTTGAGCAGAACATGCTCCAAACTCCGAAAATGATAGCAGTGTTTATAGTGAAGTTCATAATCGTTTGGAAAAAAAATACATTTTGCTGAACTTGTGAAGGATGCCAAGTCAGTTGCAGGTTTTTCTCCTTCCCGCCAATTTCGAGTCCGACGGAGCGACGTCACATAAACATGGTAAGTCGAATTTTGGGCTTCTTTGGAGAGGAATTTATCCAGAATAGCAGGTACCCGAGGGGCTGAAATTTCGGTGATTGGAAAAGCTGAATGTTCACTTGCTATAGATGAAGATAAAAAAGTAAGCTTTTTGGAGTGACTTTCTCCTTTAAGGCGATGAGAAGTTTGATCTCCTCACGCCCCCACGCGTTCGCCATTTTGTTCAATACTGAAGTTATGAATGAATGAATGAATGAATGAATGAATGAATGAATGAATGACTTTATTAAAGTGTCGTAATGGTATTTAGCTAAAAAAAAAAACTGACTGGGGACACTACTTACATAATAAAATATACCTTAGCTACATAAAATTAAAACTATTTACAGTTTAATGAATCATGTATGAAATAAATAAATACATAATTTAATGAAATATATGAACGTAGTAAGATATAAAAAGCTTAAAAAATGTCAAATATAACATGTAGAATTAAAGCGGCCTAGCAACATATGTCACAATTCTTACAATTATCTATTCTAGAGTGATAGGTCTTTACTCTTAAAACTGTTTTTGAAAACATTAGGCTTCTCTCCATCAGTATGGTCTAATTTGTTCCAAAGATGGGGCTCAAAGTATCGTAGAGAACGTTTCCCATAATGCTCTGTGCGAAAACGTGGAATATTAAAATCAGCGTTCCTCAGATTATACCGAAAGACCATCACATTAGTTCAAACAATCCCTTTGAGGTGTTTGAAGTAATTTGAACAACATGGACTATATTTAATATTTTAATATTTTAATACTAGGTGTTATGCAGGGCATGTCTGTACTGGTTGGGTAATGATCTCATTTTACTGCCTAACAACATGTTGTTCTTGTAGGGAAAAGAATTGTTGGAAACGGTTTCAGATGGCTTGAAAGACCACCGGTATTGATCCTTTAGAAGCGTGAGGGAGTAGCCACATAGAATGTTTAGGTTTGCGAAACCGTGATCAGAAATGGAACTATTTCATCTTGGAATGTACGACAGCTAAAACCTTCCGAGAAGAAAAATTTAAAATGGTTAATTTGTTGTTTACTGTTGGGAATTTTGTTCCATGGTAGATTCTGTAAAGTACACTCCCGAGGCGTCCCCGGAACATGGGCTTAGAAGTTCTGAAAAGCAGCTTTTGCCTTCGTGGCAGGCGCATATACATGTACACGGTGCCATTTTAGGATATGGCTTTGCGTGAACAATCAAACTGTATATTGTATAGCCCCACATTTGGTTTCCTTTTGTGGAGAGCTTGGGTGGATTGCGTGACGTGAAACACATGCTGCATTTTAATTTTCGATTAATCCTTTCCGTCATGATTTTTTTCACAATTTTTCTTACCCCCAGACAAACTGGGGTTGAGCTTTTATGTCCTGGGGCCCGTTTCTCGAAAGCCCCGGAAACTTTCGGGCCAGCTGCAAAGCCAATTTTAGTTAATCTGTATCTAAAAGCAGAAAGGTCTATACACCTGAAACCTCTTGTATGAAGGGAACTTATGGTCATATTACGAATATGTAAATAAAACAGCGCTAGCTGTAATTACAAGGTTCGAGTTTTTGCTACGGCTTTCCGGGTGCGAAAACCTTTTCGGGACCTTCGAGAAACGGGCCCCTGAATTTAAACTGATTATGGTTGTCACACTGTGGTCGTCAGTATTTGAACAATCTCACAAAAAGCAAGTTCGTGAGAGAATCTTAACGTTTCCTTCCATCAGGCACAACATGATTTTCACCCCGGGTTTTCACTAACTAGACTAAGTAGTTAGAAAGTGAAATTTACTTGACTTAATTTGTCTTTAGTAGAGGAACAATTCAGCCTTAAGGCTGTTAGCGAATGTCGCCTTCTGGCAAATGAAAGCAAAATATGACAAGTGCGGCTATACATCGAAAAACGGACACAGACGATAGAGTTATCATCAGTGCATGCTAAATATCTACATTTCTCGTTTATTAATAACATTAATATTTAACACCCGAAACTAAAACACTCTACAGAATAAACTATAAAGACCCTGCAGCTAAGTCTCACTCCATTTATAACATGTAATGGGCTACAATTGGGTAAATCTAGCAAAAAACGAAATCAAAAACTTACACAAAACCGGGAAATAGCACATTAGACTGACAGTCACAAACAAACACACCGGTACATCTAACATCCCGTTAAAGGAAAATATAAACTCATCCGTTTGCGAGGTTATATTATAATAACAATGTCTACCTTTCCAGCTTTTAGATTAAGGACATCAGATCTTAGGTCAGTATCGTTTCTGCAAGCTAGGAAGTTGCAATAAAGCAATGATAATTATCGTGAGCAAGAAACTCAACAGGAATCGGCACGTACAGACCGATGATGATTGAGTATTGCGACATAACACTAAATAGCATGGGAAGCTTAAAAATCCCGATAACGTCTGTTTCGTTCATTATAAAAAAAGTTTAAATACCTGAAACGAAATGCGAGAAATAGTTTCCTGAAATACACGCGACGATGAGCACAAGAAAACAGCAGTTCATCATTCTCGATGGCAAGAGGTGTTACATCTTCCGCCTAGAAAATGAAAGAATGTGTGACAGCAGTGTTTGATGACACGCAACAATAAACGAAATTCAAAACCATAGAGATTAATAACCACAGCAATCTGTCCAAATATGTTGATCAGTAGTTTGGATCTAGTTTGCATTGTGTTTTTTAAACAAGGAAGATGTTAACACTTGCTAGTAGCATTTATAATATCAACTTCCTAACTAATGAAAACAAGAGACCATGATCTCACTTTCTCTTGCCGAAAATTAAAATAGTCTGTTCTTTACGTTATGGAAAATTTACTAATCGGTTACTAATTAATTACTAATTTACAATTTATTATTATTATTATTATTATTATTATTATTATTATTATTATT